AGTGCAGATGCTGCTTATTAGAAGGATGCCCAGCTTGGGTAGGAAGTTTGATTGAGCTTATTGTCAAGGCTCTGGCAAAGAGGGCCTTGAGGTCCCCCTGGGGTGTACCAGAATAGAAAATCCCATACTAGCCTACAAGAGTTGAAAGTGGTTCATCCCACAAAGCAGAGATTTCTTTAAAGCCCCTACTCTTGTCTGTCCATAGCACCCACTTTCAACAGCTGAGATTCTCGTCTCAGAAATGCAACTCAGCTTTTCCTGGTTTTATGAGTAAAAATGAGATCCTGCATAAAAATAGGGTATTTCTAAATCTTTTCTCTGGGAGTGGACGGGATCAGGCTGGTAGAAGCTTTCCACAGACACACCATGATGGTGTTGGTAAGTATGGGATGGCATCCTGAGTGCTGTTCTTCCAGACCCTCAGGTCTGCTTGCTCCTGGCTGCATGTACAGGGTACTTAGAGGCTCCCATCCCTTTCTTAACATGGCCCAATAAACATGCTACAGAAATAATTCGATGAGCTTTCTGACAGCCATGTCCTGCTAGAAGCTGTGTCCCTTCCTTCTCAGGCAGGCTTCACGTTCCTGTTGCTCCAGGACCAGGTTGGCCCAGTGCATTGCCTAGGGGCTAGTGCTTTGAAAGCATCTGGAGTATTGTGGAGTACAGCTGCTCTCCTCACAAATGGGAAATTGTGCCAAAAACATGTGATGGCATTTCTTTGGGAGCTGAAAACTGGAAACTTAAAGGTTTCTCAAGCTGAAAATGGCCTGGCATGGGTCCACCTAAGGAACTGCCTCCCTGTGCCAAACCACTACACCCATAGCTGGCAAAGGCACCTAATAAGAAGAGACAGCGATATTAGCAGGGCATTTTGAAGAGTGCACTGTGTTTCTGGAAGGTCTCCTCAGTTCTCTGGTCCAAGTATCATTTCACATGGGTTTTGAAGAGGCTGGTCTTCACTACTTTAAGTGTGAAAAGGTACCCTTGTGAATCTAGGGTGACAGCTTCTCAGGGGAAGGCTTTGCTTTCTGTGGTAGAAAGACACTCAGTTTTACCTGCTGAAAGATAAACTGCAGGCTTCTCAGCAATGCCATTTCAATAAGAGTTTGCTGACCCTTTCCATGAAGGGTTATATATCTGAAAGCAATTATACCGACTGCACTTTATTAGTATTTGATGGGTGGATTTAAAGAATGGTTTTTATCTTCCATCGTAGCAGAGAGCATTGATCTGAATAAACAAAAGCAGTGAACAGTGGTAAAAATACAAAATGGATTAGAAAGTGTGAGAGTTCTCCTATAAATACAACTTTTTGCACAGACAGCATATGTTATAACATCAAAAGATAAATAAAGCTGTTCTATTAAAACTCTTCTTTTCTTGATGAAAGATTATCAGCTAACTCAGGACCCAAGAATTTCTGTTAATTGTAGCAGCTGCCATGATAGCAAAGCAGACAAATACATGGCCCACTGCAAACTAAGTGATCCCTTTCTTATTCATCACATACTTAATTCACTTTAGGTTCATATCAAAGAGTCTGAATCAGAAGGACTACTCTTAGTCATACACTTAAGAGTCTTAACCGAACTGCAGCCTGTGCAGTCTGCATAGTCACAACTGTAAACTCTTTAGGGCCTTCGCTACCACAAATCTATGAATTTCACAGAATTGGAGAAATCAGAGATGGAAAGGAATTTCTGGGCTCTTTCCC